TGTGTGTGTGTGTGTGTGTGTGTGTGTGTGTGTGTGTGTGTGTGTGTGTGTGTGTGTGTGTGTGTGTGTGTGTGTTTTTTTCATTGTGTGATTGGGCCTGGACCCATCAACCCCATCTCAGGTAGACGGTGAGTTTATTCTTGAGCTTGCCCTGTAGCGCTCGCTACCCCTGGTGCTGTATTTTCTTCCCGGCCACTCATTGTCTCAGTGCGGTGTCCCGAGGTGAAGCCGTCCGTCTCCGGCTTGTTGGAAATCCCCGTTCCCACACTGCTAAGGTTCCACCACTGATCGGAGCAGTGCATCAGTCACAGTCGGGCAAACTGCAGTGTCTTTCTCAAATTTCTATTTTTAAGATGCAGGGGATCTGATCATCAAATTGTGGGGAAATTGCTCCAATTTATTGCAGAGTGGCTTTAAATCATCCTGCTTGGGTTTGTTCAACTAGCATGGCTGCAAATGATKGTATATTCTGTACATTTTACTTTTTACGAAACAAACTGAACTTTATTTTTTACATCCACAGTTTTAGCAGCTTAGTTAGTGGACTYAAAAGTTTCTTGCATTGAACTGAAACATGATCACAAAGTACTACATCTATCCTACATCACAACACATCATCTGAAAAAGTAGATACAGAAGTTATTACTTTCTTTTGCATGACAACATAAAACTAAAATCTGCTGTGTTTTTAGAAATAATCTTTCAGGCAAGTAAGACGGAGGTCCCTCCAGCGTTTTTTTCTTTTTTAAATAGGGGCAGGGGATTTGTTGTCAACTTTAACATAGTTGCCATGTTTGGGCAAAACTCAATTTTCTCTTGCCTGCATGTGTTCATTGGTGACAGTTAATTTCGACAACTCATCCCAACATATAATCTTTGGATTTTTCAACATGACATTCTTCATCTGTTTGTCAACACAAACTTTGACTTTAAAAACTCGACAAAGAAATCTTTGACTATTTTAGTCAAAGTTTTCTAAACTGATAAAGACTTGTTTTAGCTGAAATTCTGGATATTTTTTCTTGGTATGAGGATGTTGGCCTGATTGAGATGCTTCTTTCCCATGGGCCTTATTTTATAAACACATAGTATCTTTATATAGACAAATATGTTCTCATTTTGACTGGAGATGATCCACCTTAACGGTTCACACGATACTATATACAGTAAGGGCTCTGATACAATTTGTCTGATTCAACAGAAAAGCCAGAGCAAGAAAAACTAAGTCAGTTTTCACAGTGTGCTCTGTTTCCCTCCACAGTCATCCAGTTTGGTTTTGTCTCTCTCTTCGTGGCTTCCTTCCCACTGGCCCCTCTCTTCGCCCTGTTGAACAACGTCATTGAGATCAGACTGGATGCCAAGAAGTTGGTTACAGAGTTGCGAAGGCCGGTTGCTGCTCGTGCTAAAGACATTGGTAAGCCAAACAGATGCATGTARAGATCAAAAGATTAATAAAATGTTTGTTTTTAACAAGTCCTGTAAAAAACTAAGGCTTTGATTGGGAGTCACACCTAAACTCTAATAACCATTGTGCTGATTTTTGTGAGAAATGCCATAGTTTTATCAGGAATCACATGCAACAATGAGTTGAATAAATRTTTTTGCTAATCATGAATACAGTTAAGCATAAATTATGTGATTCTAGCCAGCTTTTTCTGCATGTGCATGTTTTCTTTCTCCAAGATACATGGGATTAGTAGGACCTAATAAGTATAATAAATAGACACTGTCATGGTACAGTAAGTGTTTTTTGCAAACAGAAAAATGTCCTYGTATGAGGACACTGGGTCTTAAAACGTCACACTTGTAGAGGAATACCTCAGCATTTACCATGCAGAACTTGAGAAACTTTATGATAGCCTTTCTGGCAGTTCAGTTTTTCTAATTATTTTGACAGTACAGCAGGAAGCTGTTGACCAGGGCAAGATTAATGAAGCGCATCATCATTATCATCGACAACTGTCAGATTGCTCTTCACTTTGGTGGGAAATCACAGAACATTTGATCAGAACATCCTTGGTATAATTAATTGGTTGAACAAATGTACCACTTGCAAGAACTATTTGCACTTKTGAACTGTTTTAAATRTTTCCAGAATTATTTAACAACATTTTGTGACCAACTATACCACTTCTACACAACAGAGTTGTTGTAGAAGCTTTTTACTGAGATCCCMGTCATCTTGTTTTCACTCAAATGAGTGTAAWATTATCATGAGAYCACTAGAGGGTACTSGTAGTGTCCTTTAAKGAGGCCATTGGGTTAAAGTCGAGGGGCAAAAAATGCAATGTCCACATATGAGGACGCAGGGTCTCAGGAGGTTTTAGTTTTATCATCTTTTGTTTACAGTATGCAATGCTCCATCTGTGATTGTTATTAAATACTKATACAATTCTTTCTTTCTTATCTCTGTGTTTTCTCTGTGTTTTTCTCTAAAGGTATATGGTACAACATATTGAGTGGGATGGGCAAATTGTCGGTCATCATAAACGTAAGTATTCACAGAATGTTCAGCATGTGAAAAACAGTTTTTATTGCGAAAGAAAGAACTACATTTCTCTACTGCAAACGTTTTTATTGAAGCATTCACGTATGCCCTCACTTTTAGTGGAATTTAATGGGATTGGCCTTTCACTGTCTGTCCWGAGTAGCCTTTCCAGGTCAAATCTGAAGGACAATTAAATCACATTGTAACACAATTATAAAATATAACAAGATAAGAGAAATTCCAAGGGCAGATGGAGAAAGCTGGATTTTCACGTGATTCTGTATGTTGATGTAAATCYAGGTCATGATTACCCTTAATGTTTCAACAGAAGATGTTTTTCTTCAACATTTTTGAGAAGAAGATGAACTCAACTTCTAGGGGAATTTTCTTTAAGATCCAGGAAGTARAGCTCACATAAAKTCCTGCATTCAAGTGCTTAGGATGKTTTTTTGTTACTTTTAGTWGCAGCTTGTGAAAAACTGGTCCTTCCTGAAAGCAGTTGAGTTGAATAAAGACAGCCCCCCCCCACCCGATTTTATACTACAGAATCCAAAAAGCAGCCATAAATGTAAATGTGTGGACATCATAGTGTACGTGTGGGTCAATCAGAAAGTGCTTGCTTTGGCAGCCAGCCAAATCTTTTTTGTTTACTTTTAATTCTGAAAGGATTTTTGAGGTTTCAAAGAATAAAAAAAAGTTTATTTACACTGAACATGTGAAGGGTGAGGCTACCATACGCCAACTACCAGGAAGTTTTACTAAATCAGTACATTCAGCTCCAGAATGTCTAAAATTTGAAGTTTTATATAAAAGTGACTTTCAGCCAAACATTTCTTTTGACAACAAACAAGGAAAAACGAAGAAAGCAAACATTTTACAGATAAGTGAGCATTATCCACTGGTGGATGGAACAGAGTGATGCCACTTATTTGTTGAAGTAGAGTTAGTTGAGGTGTTTTCTTGGTCATTGTCACTTCTGCAGTTTCTTAGACACTATATATA